CACACACACGCACACACACATGATGCGCAAAACTCCGCACTTGAACAGTCATTAGCAAATACTTAAACTAATAACAAAACAGTAGCTTATTCAGAAGCGCCAGATTGTCATAGCAAAGTCAGAATTACCTCCTCTCCTAGGCTCACGAAACGGTCGTCCATAAAATGCATTGCTGTTCTGTTGTAAGTAATCTTAAAGATTCCTAAATGCATCTACTTTCGGAAGGCCAAATAAAGTGCTTTTGGTTTCGCCTAGAAACACACAGCGTCTCCCTGACATGGCTGCTTCAACACTAACTGCGGTTACTGAAACCACGCCTTCTTTCTTTGCGTGCACATTTGGCTGGCATTACGCAAATATTTCCACATAGTGAGGTAGATATGTGGGGGCGTGTTAGAACGAGCCGTTTTAGGGGGGCGTGGCAGAGTCTTAACTTTGATAAAGAATATCTCTTTGGTTTTGAGACTTTAGTCTTTGCAACTTCAGGGATCTTATCTATGTACAATCAGCTTGTAACACTCCAAAGAGAAAGGAAAACGTGAAATCGCATCATATGACCCCTTTAAGTGACTTGCCTGATTAAATAACTTACTTTTTAAAAAATGAAATAAAAAAATAAAAATAAAATAACCTAATACAGGACAAGCAGTTTGGAGAAAGGATGCAAAATAAAATTAAATAAAAAAATTTTTTAAAACTGTCATAAAAATATTAAATTAAATATTAAACACTTTGTGGTTTTCTTCCTCGTTTTTGTTTTGGTGACATAGGAATATTCCACATGTATTTTATGTTGTCACATGGAATTGTGGGAAAAACCTTGCATGCATCCTGAAGTACAACACATGCTCGGTTTTATTTTCTCTTTATGTCAATTCTTGTAGAAGTATTTGGGGAAACCTGTTTGGAAACAGTGTGCAATTCCGTTTGGTGTCGTTGTTAGCCGCAGAAATTACACACTTCACCTTTAGGCTATACAAAATTTTTAAACTATAAGAAGTGCATTGTCAAACAAATGATGCTATGTTTTTCAGTGCTGATTTCAAGGACTAAAAACAATGCAATATGCGCTCTCTCCTCTTGAACTGTCCCAATTGTCAGTGCCCCTGTTGTTGAACATCAGCATTACGTGGATTGAACACTCACATGGTTTTCTTTGTCCTGCAGAAGCCTCAGGCGCTCTTGGCTCTGCTGCAGCTCCAGATTGAAGGAGCATTTCTCATCCTCTGCATTCTCATACTTCTCCCTGAGGCCTGACAGCTCTGCCTGGATCTCCTCATACTGAAAGCAAAAAACAGAAAGAGAGAGTAGGAATCTTTCAGATGGAGCAATGAGCCTAGTCAATAACACACACACACACACACACACACGGTAACATTCACAATAACCGACAAACTAGAATACAAGAGACAGTAACTGATATAGGGCAGATAACGAGGGGCAGACAGGTGAGCACAATGAGGTGATTAACTAATAATGAGAACAGGA